GCTTGTCGGGGTTCATTTGACGCAGCTTATCTGGCAACTAGGCGCAATTGTGTCCCTTACGCCCGATCCTAAAGTAAGAGGTTTCTAAATTCAAATAAGGTATTTGTATAAAGTGTAAAAGGATGAGGTATTTTTATAATGTTATAGGGCATTCCTGCCCTTTACTCTCACAACCCTTTCTCATATATCCACAGTTTGATTATTTTGAGTACGTAACTTTTTCAGCAGGATTTCATATTGAATTAATAGGATATCTGCTCAAGACGAATTTTTTGTGAATTTCACTTTGCCATACCTTCCAAAGGGTAATTCGCAAAAATGTGGGCCTCTCTTCACCTACCTGTCTTCAGGATCGCTATCAATCAGTTGAAACTGATTCACATAGACAATCAATCATTTTTAATTTTATCTGAGGTTATACTACTAATAAGTAATCAGTACTTTACTATGATTTAAATATTATTCAGTGTCTGGATAAAAACGTGTTAAGCTTTTTCTTTTCTATATACTAGTCTCGGAGTCAAACATGCCTAGTGTCGATGGCGAAGCCATTTCGTCTCTTCATCACAACGGGAGTGATGGTCACCACTGTCTATCTGGTACAAAGGAGGGCACCCACACCACCGGAAAACGCGACGACTGTGGCGTATGCACCACATTTGGCATGCCGATCTGTTCCGCAGCCGCATGTTCTTTCATCGGCTCGGCCAATTCGGGCACTATTTCCCGTATATCTTCTACGTCTGGCGCTCGTACGCACGCAAACTGTGCCGACACTCCGGCCTCTCGACTTTGCACCAAACCACTAAATGACCAGACACGAGGCTCGTCCACGGTCGCTTCAAGCGCAGTTTCTACAAGAGCCCCCGTTGCCACAACCGTGACGGCAACAGCCGCCTGCCAGACAACTTGCTTGCCGAATGAAAGTCGCTGTGCGCCGACCATGGAAGAGGCGTTGATGATCTACGATGCCTTGCCAGCTTCCACGTTCCACCTTAGCCGAAATCAGCTGACTCTACGAGAAAGACTGGGTGTCTATCATGCCATAATTGTTTTCATTCTTCGCCTCTTTCTCATTGCTTAAAAGAATGAGCAAATTGCTTACTCGCATGT